CGAAAGGATTGAAAAGATGAAGAACACGACGCCTACAAGAATGCCCCGCACACAACGAACGGATTATCCAAATCCGAATCGGAAAACGGTTCTGAAAACTAGACAGAACAAGCTACACGTCGGTATATGGATCGTCTCCAGACTCTTTCAGGTTCGACGGAAATCCTCCCTCTAAGTGGACTGATCGCAGCAGAAAACTGCAGAAATCTACCCAGTTAAAACGATCATAACTCCCTAAATACTCAACCCATTGACAAACGGTTTTCACCCACATCAAGAAAAAGGATTGGANAACTTACCCACAAAGTTTCACCCAGATCCGACCTGATTTGCCTAGCCGTTCGTCTCCTCCAACAATCACCAAAACCGAATTAGGATTTTAGAAGACAGGAACGATACACTGATTTTGAAAGCACACCGAAAACGGATAATACGTCATAATCAGGATCAGAAACCTGATTTAGAAACTANACAGAGAGAGCTTTCTACAGATAGGCTGATCGTCTCCTAAGTCNTTCTGGTTCNATCNGAAAGCCTTCCCGAANCNGACTGATCGCAGCAACAAGTCTGCACAACCCTATCGAGTTCAAACAGCCATAACTCAACGAATATTCAACGAAATGACGAACGGATTTTGCCCATATCGAGACCAGAGATCGGAGAACTTACCCTCAAAGTTTCACCCCAATCCTCCTCGAATTGCCCAGCCGTTTGCCCTCTCAAACACTCGAACAGAAGCTGTTTTTCACCCTCAATCACACACAACTCACAACCTCTCTTGATTCTCTCTCGAATCCTCCTCTTTCTCTGATTTTCGGCCAAAATGAGACCAACACGCATCTATTCCAGCCCTTTTATACAAACCCTGGGGTGTTTCCTAAACCACTCCCCAAACTGGCAAATCATAAACCAAAACCGTCGGTCTGATTTTACCCCGTGGATCGACACACATGCCCAAAAAATCCCCTTTTTGGTTCACGGGCGTTACACTAAATACAACTGTTTGTACACGAAATCACATACACTTGTGTCACCTGTCACGTACACTCAGTGAAACCACATGTGGATTTCACTGTTTTGTGTACATGCATCCTGAAATGTAATAGTGTATGATATGCATGTACCTATTCAAAGTGTTACAAAATTCTCNAAAACACAAGTACTTTACTGTGAAAACNNAAGCACACAAACACATTTCACTGTTGTGTACACTGCTACCTCGTACACTAACCATCATAGTACACCACCGGTGTGCATACTATGTCGTATCCCTTTGTGCATATTGTTTTGTACACCAGCGTGCATATTGTTTCGTACACCAGTGTTTATATTTTTTCGTACAATGTCATAGTACCACTATCATGCTCAATATTTCATACACCATTGTTCACACTGTTCTGTAAACCACCATGCCCACTGCTCTGGAATGTATCACATTGTCCCGTACACTGCCACACCGTACATCGCACCTACGTAGACCATACTTAACATGGCAAAAAAAATTCATCTATTCACACTTCAATCAAATTTGCATCTCCACCAACATCATCCTAAATTCTAATCACCTAATTTTGCATCCTCCTCTTTTCCCTTTTTTCTCCTCTCTCGAATCCATGACTATTTATTTCATTATGTCTTTCTTCTTTTCCGTCGTCATCGCAATCTCTTCCTCCGTTGTACGTTTCTCTTTCTATGTCTTCGTCGCAATTTCTTTCTTCCGATGTGCCTTCCGCTTGTGTTGTGCTTTCAAAAAATCATATATGAGTTATTCCTATTTTTTTAGTAAAGATGAACTACTAATTTAGT